TATATATATATATACATATATTACATGTGGAGATCAGGGATACGCTGTGTACAGAGTGCAGAGTTAAGGGGTGCGCTATGTACAGGGTATAGTTTCAGAAGTGCTCCATGCGCAGAATGCAGAGTTCAGAGGTCCGCTATGTACAGAGTGCAGGGTTGAGGAGTACGCTACATACAGAATGCAGGGTTCTGAACAGTCTGCAGGGTTCAGATCTTTTTCACAGGCTGTCCACATCTCACTTCCAACCGTACTTGGCTCTGACCTCTGCACCACTCTAACCCTTTCCCCCACCTCTGCACAACACATCTCCCTCCACAACCCTCATCTCTCCCCCCCACCTAAAACCATCATTGCATCTCACCTACCTGGTCTGGCTCTAGTATCTCCTGCAGTGTTGGCAGTGTTGGCTGCTCCACCTCTCTCTCTCTCGCTTGCAGGGAGATCAGTGGTCGGCATCTGTGCACCTGGGCATAGATGGAGATCACAGTACAGTTTACCAGTGATGCCCCTATCCCACACTGTACCTGCATCTCTCTTGTCCCTGCTGTGAGTGTAGGGCAGACAGGGATCTGTGAGAGGCACCGAGAGAAAAGCTGTCCTTGTAAACACAGAAGGCATCTGTGTTTACAAGTGACAGTGGTTAGTTGGGAGCAGAGGGTGAGAGCCAAATGTGGTGGAACTCCACTCTGCCACATTCTGGCTGAGAAAAAGCCCTGAGTGCAAGGGCCACATTAAATGGCTAGGCCTGTTGGCCATGTGTTTAACACATGTGCCTTAGAGGATCTGGGGAGATTTTTCCCCCTGCTGGAGCAAATTTGACCATGCTGATATGTTTTTTAATTTTTTCTGAATCAATTGTGGGTTTAGGACTCTCTACATGCAAGTTTATTCATTTATTTTTCTTTTGGTTGAACTCATTGGATTTGTGTCTTTTTATCTGTCACAGCAGTATCCACCCAACTACTTACTGATATCTTTCCCTGATAATATGCTGTTCCATCAGTTTGTTGCATTTTACCTGAAATGTCTACTCCAGAACTAGCTTGCCACGGATAAAATCTTCTCACAATAACCAATGGAAGCCCTTAGACCTGTACTTCTTAACTTGGCCCTAAATGAGCACTCTAAAGTTCTTCCTGCAATGGCCTACTATTATAGTCTTGCCCTGGGCCCTCTTATATCTTAAAATAATCCTGGCTGGTTTACAAATTTTCTATTCTGGATTATATTCCAGTCTTTATATATATTTTATTGTACAGAAGGAGATGTTTACCTGAACATTCTTGGCTCAGTCCCAGAGATGGAATGTGTGTTTTGAACAGCAGGTGTGTTTGTCTCTTGTATGAATCAGCGCATTTTGGCAGTAACAGTAATTTCAGAGGGCTTTCTTCTTTATGATGGTGGTTAGAACAGACTTCTGCTTAGATGAATGTATCATTTGCATTCTGACTGTCACTTTATGCAAAATGGAACCCAAAGTACAATTTAAAGTGGACCTGCACTCATGAATTCAAAATTTGCTCAGTTATAGGGAACATCTCAAAATCTTAATTTTGCCTAAGCAATACCCTCAAAAATATACATTTTGCTGTGAATTCCTCCTGAAAAATAGCAGTGCACTTTGCGGTAGGGATAAGCTGAATGCCTCTTGGTTCAGTTCACTTGAAGATCTCAAGTTCTGAATGTTAATCCAAACCTCATTGAAGTCAAAGGGAGTCAAATCTTTTAAAATCAATTCTGACCATTTTCATGAATAATAGGCAAGGGATTGTCAAACAAATGGCACCAAAGGTTGGGCACTCCCTGGGGGGACATGTACAAAAAAAAAAAGGTTAAAACATTTGTAAAGCGCTGCGCAAAACTGTTGGCGAAATATAAATCCTGCAAAATAATAATAATAATAAAAACTATCAGTGAGCAGAAATTTTAATAATGTTTAAAGTGAAACATTAAACTAGATACTTTAAACCTGTTTGTGAAGTGGCGCACCTGTATAATGTATAAAATGAACTACAGAAAAACTGATATTTACAAAAACAAAGGTGCCATGTACATTTCTGGTAAATCACATTTGTCTGCCAGTCTTCCCTGCCAGGGCTTGGAGACCCTCAAACATACATACCAGAAAAATTTCAAACAATCGGTAAATCCCTAAAATTTATTTTCGTGCAATAACATAAATCCCTTAGACAAACAAAAAGTCACACTTTCCTCCCAGAAAGTCCAAAGTCAAAAAACCTCCTCAGCATCTGTGAAATTTATCATACACAAACTTGATCCATCTCCAAGATCAATCCTTATGTGTCCATGTGTACCTAAAAAAAAACCAAAAATAGCTGCATATAGTGCATTAACTCAACACTCAATATAACAAAATCAATATTAATGTGCACTTGTCATCAAACTTATATATAAAAAAATCACCCGAAGTCCATCAAATATGGCTGAATAACATACTCTTACCTTACAGTTCACTTTAAATGGCTTTTTATATCTCACTCCTCATAAGGATCCACTCATGGCCAATACTACGGACTAATCATCATCATATAAGGTATACCTCTGAAAAAAAATGTACCATAGTGTGTCATCCTTTAAACATGTAATCAGTGCTCCTCTCTTCCCCACCACTGAAACGCAAAATCTCTCTCCACCACCTTCCAAACCATGCACCTTACCGGACTACAGATGTCCAATAGCAGAAATAGATGTAGGTTGACTCCTCTTAATGACTTCCAGTCCCGGACACTATCACACTTTGAATGACAATTGTGCAGTCATGCAACACTGTACCCATATGAATTTTTTAGCATTTTTTGAGACAGATAAAGCTTTATTTTGGTGGTATTTATTCACCACTGGGATTTTTTTTTTGCTATATAAATGAAAAAGTCCAAAAATTTTGAAAAAAAGTGTTTTTCTTATAAAATTTAGCAAATAAATAATATTTTCATCATAAATCTTGGTCAAAATTATTCAGTTATCTTTTTAGTAAAAAAAAAACATAACATAACCCAAATTTAGTTTTATAACCAAAAATTATAATTTTCAAATTTTTGTTTTTTTTACATTTTTATTTTTTATTTTTTTATATTAGTATTTATGGTTTTTTTTCTACATACTGTCACCCTAGCAGTACAGTGTCACCATGGTGACACTGTACTACTTGTGGGGGTGATGAAGATTTTTTTTTCTTTCACACTGATTGCTTTTACACCTATAAAAACTGTAAAAGCAATCATTTCTCCTTCTCTCTGGCTGCCTTCTTGCAGCCATTGAGAACTACTGTGTGTGAGCTGTGATTGATCACAGCTTGTCACATGGTACAAGGCTATTGTGAATAGTCCCTTGTACCATGTAACCTCTGTGATCATTCACAGATTTCACACGTAGTAAGCAATGAGGTCAGAAGTGACATCTTGCTTATTACTCTGCATGTGATCACTGATTGGCCAATCAGTGATCATATGATTGGGACCTTGCACAGAGGTCCCGTCCGACGATCGGTGTTCCACTCCCAGGGAGCGCTCACAGTCCATAATGGCGGGTGCCGTTTATGAACGGCAACCTGCCCCTGGAGTGCCACCTTCCGGCCGTTTATATACAGCGGCAGGACGGCAGAGTGGTTAATCCATACTGATCCCATTCTCCTCATAAAAAAAAAGAAAATCAGATTTGTGTTTGACTACTTGTATTTTGAGGAAGACCTTTTTAGGGTCTCCATGGCATTGCAAATATATTTTTCTGGGTGTTGATCCCCCCCCCCCAAAAAAAAATCCCCCAAAGGCTCTGGTATGGATTTTATGGGGTACCCATGCAAAAAAGCAAAAAAAAAAGAAGAAAAAATTACATGGAGTTCCTCCCAAATCCATTCAAATCCAGATCCAAGCATATGGCCTGGCTACCTGACTAGCAATGAAAGGAGTGGGTGGTTTAAAAGTGTTGTGTCCCCCCTTCTGAACCATACCAGACCACATGCTCTCAGCCCCAATATGGGGAGGGGTACCATTCCCAGGGGGGGACCTTGTGTCCATGTTGAAGAGAGCAAGTGCCTTTTCTTCACAAACCTGGGGGGGGGTATGTGAGCAGGAGGGCTTATCAGAATCTGAAAACTCTAAAAAATAAGGGGGCCCAGATATGGCCTCCCTCCATGTCAATGTGTAAGGGGGAGAAAGGGGGCTCTACTGTATGTATGTGTAGTGAGGAGTATGAAACATTTGGACAGCATACAGGGTGCAGCAGTCAGAAATTACGTAGCATACTGTGTAAATTACATTCTCCTGACTACCATACTCTATGCCCTGTGATGTGGTGATGTGGTGTGTAGACACCATTTTCGCTGTATATGTTACAATACTTATGGCCACTGTACTCTTTACATTATGTACCCCTAATCCCTGCACTCTCTATATACCAACAGTGTTTCACTGTATCAACTGTAGCTGGTTGCTAAATGGACCCTGACTATTTCAATGAAGTTGTTCTTTAGAGTAAGCTTAGATGGAGTGCAGTCTTTTTGAGTGTTAGCTCTCTGCTATATTCTATGTGCACAAAAGAATATGTAATGAAGGAGTTTGAGTTTTGAAAAATGATTGTGCTGAGTGCTGAGGTTTATTAAGTTTCTATAAAACTATTATTTGAAGGCACCACAATGAAAGAGGCCTTATCACCAGATCAAGCTTTTATATTTAGATGCTTTTAATAAAACAAGCATAACAGATTCACATGCACTATTTTTTTTAAGTTGTCGCTCTTTATTTTATTTTAAGCCCTGTGAAATGGATAGGAATCTGACACTTCTGGTTGTGTCAGATCCTAGTATCTTCCCCCTCCCCCTGCAGCTGTTAACACTGCATACAATCAACTAGAGATGAGCGAAGTATTCAAAAATTCAATTCGGCTGATTTCGGCGAATTCGAGGAATAAATTTGATTCGAGGCGAAATATATTCGCTGCGAATTTAACTTTAAAAAGGGGTGTTTCTAGGCTTCAGAGAGCCTTTATATTAGTGCAGAACACTGTACCTTTAATTTAAATGCCCTTGGAGTCTGCTGGGGGAAAGAGAAATAATACTATCAGTCAGTATGACATGCAGATGAGTGCCGTCGATCTTAGAATCACCGCACACTTCACTCATTTGGGCAGTCACAATGGGGCCAAAACCAGAGTGTGGACCTGGCCACAGTGTGGCGGTGGCCCATGGCAGCAGCAATGGGAGGCCATACAGCACCCTATGACAAAATGGAACCCACCAGCAGTGTGAGGAGACCTGAAAGTGGCACATGGCAGAGTGTGGCGATGGAGACAGCAGCAATGGGAGGCCGTACAGGGACCCATGACACACTCTGGACCTGGCAGCAGCATGAGGAGGGCGGTACAGGGCCCATGACAGATTACGGGCCTGGCAGCAGCATGGGAGGAGTCCAGCAGCAATGGGAGGACCGTAATCTGCCAGCACCCTATGACAAAATGGAACCCACCAGCAGTGTGAGGAGACCTGAAAGTGGCACATGGCAGAGTGTGGCGATGGAGACAGCAGCAATGGGAGGCCGTACAGGGACCCATGAGAGACACTCTGGACCTGGCAGCAGCATGAGGAGGCGGTACGGGGGCCCATGGCAGATTACGGGCCTGGCAGCAGCAATGGGAGGCCCGTAATCTGCCAGCACCCTATGACAAAATGGAACACACCAGCAGTGTGAGGAGACCTGAAAGTGGCACATGGCAGAGTGTGGCGATGGAGACAGCAGCAATGGGGAGGCCGTACAGGGACCCATGAGAGACTCTGGACCTGGCAGCAGCATGAGGAGGCGGTACGGGGGCCCATGGCAGATTACGGGCCTGGCAGCAGCAAGGGAGGCCCGTAATCTGCCAGCACCCTATGACAAAATGGAACACACCAGCAGTGTGAGGAGACCTGAAAGTGGCACATGGCAGAGTGTGGCGATGGAGACAGCAGCAATGGGAGGCCGTACAGGGACCCATGACAGACCACTCTGGACCTGGCAGCAGCATGAGGAGGCGGTACAGGGGCCCATGGCAGATTACGGGCCTGGCAGCAGCAATGGGAGGCCCGTAATCTGCCAGCACCCTATGACAAAATGGAACCCCAGCAGTGTGAGGAGACCTGAAAGTGGCACATGGCAGAGTGTGGCGATGGAGACAGCAGCAATGGGAGGCCGTACAGGGACCCATGAGAGACTCTGGACCTGGCAGCAGCATGAGGAGGCGGTACAGGGGCCCATGGCAGATTACGGGCCTGGCAGCAGCAATGGGAGGCCCGTAATCTGCCAGCACCCTATGACAAAATGGAACACACCAGCAGTGTGAGGAGACCTGAAAGTGGCACATGGCAGAGTGTGGCGATGGAGACAGCAGCAATGGGATGAGGCCGTACAGGGACCCATGAGAGACTCTGGACCTGGCAGCAGCATGAGGAGGCGGTACGGGGGGCCCATGGCAGATTACGGGCCTGGCAGCAGCAATGGGAGGCCCGTAATCTGCCAGCACCCTATGACAAAAAATGGAAACACACCAGCAGTGTGAGTGAGGACCTGAAAGTGGCACATGGCAGAGTGTGGCGATGGAGACAGCAGCAATGGGAGGCCGTACAGGGACCCATGAGAGACTCTGGACCTGGCAGCAGCATGAGGAGGCGGTACAGGGGCCCATGGCAGATTACGGGGGGCCCATGGGGGGCCTGGCAGCAGCAATGGGAGGCCCGTAATCTGCCAGCACCCTATGACAAAAATGAAACACACCAGCAGTGTGAGGAGACCTGAAAGTGGCACATGGCAGAGTGTGGCGATGGAGACAGCAGCAATGGGAGGCCGTACAGGGACCCATGAGAGACTCTGGACCTGGCAGCAGCATGAGGAGGCGGTACGGGGGCCCATGGCAGATTACGGGCCTGGCAGCAGCAATGGGGGAGGCCCGTAATCTGCCAGCACCCTATGACAAAATGGAAACCACACCAGCAGTGTGTGAGGAGACCTGAAAGTGGCACATGGCAGAGTGTGGCGATGGAGACAGCAGCAATGGGAGGCCGTACAGGGACCCATGAGAGACTCTGGACCTGGCAGCAGCATGAGGAGGCGGTACAGGGGGCCCATGGCAGATTACGGGCCTGGCAGCAGCAGCAATGGGGAGGCCCGTAATCTGCCAGCACCCTATGATGACAAAATGGAACACACCAGCAGCAGTGTGAGGAGACCTGAAAGTGGCACATGGCAGAGTGTGGCGATGGGAGACAGCAGCAATGGGAGGCCGTACAGGGACCCATGAGAGACTCTGGACCTGGCGCAGCAGAGGATGAGGAGGCGGTACAGGGGGCCCATGGCAGATTACGGGCCTGGCAGCAGCAATGGGAGGCCCGTAATCTGCCAGCACCCTATGACAAAAATGGAACCCACCAGCAGTGTGAGGAGACCTGAAAGTGGGCACATGGCAGAGTGTGGCGATGGAGACAGCAGCAATGGGAGGCCGTACAGGGACCCATGAGAGACTCTGGACCTGGCAGCAGCATGAGGAGGCGGTACAGGGGCCCATGGCAGATTACGGGCCTGGCAGCAGCAATGGCAATGGGAGGCCCGTAATCTGCCAGCACCCTATGACAAAAAATGGAACACACCAGCAGTGTGAGGAGACCTGAAAGTGGCACATGGCAGAGTGTGGCGATGGAGACAGCAGCAATGGGGGAGGCCGTACAGGGACCCATGAGAGACTCTGGACCTGGCAGCAGCATGAGGAGGCGGACGGGGGCCCATGGCAGATTACGGGCCTGGCAGCAGCAATGGGAGGCCCGTAATCTGCCAGCACCCTATGACAAAATGGAACACACCAGCAGTGTGAGGAGACCTGAAAGTGGCACATGGCAGAGTGTGGCGATGGAGACAGCAGCAATGGGAGGCCGTACAGGGACCCATGAGAGACTCTGGACCTGGCAGCAGCATGAGGAGGGATTAGGGGCGGTGATGGCGGTACAGGGGCCCATGGCAGATTACGGGCCTGGCAGCAGCAATGGGAGGCCCGTAATCTGCCAGCACCCTATGACAAAAAATGGAACACACCAGCAGCAGTGTGAGGAGACCTGAAAGTGGCACATGGCAGAGAGTGTGGCGATGGAGACAGCAGCAATGGGAGGCCGTACAGGGACCCATGAGAGACTCTGGACCTGGCAGCAGCAGCATGAGGAGGAGGCGGTACAGGGGCCCATGGCAGATTAGGGGCCTGGCAGCAGCAATGGGGAGGCCCGTAATCTGCCAGCACCCTATGACAAAAAATGGAACACACCAGCAGTGTGAGGAGACCTGAAAGTGGCACATGGCAGAGTGTGGCGATGGAGACAGCAGCAATGGGAGGAGGCCGTACAGGGACCCATGAGAGACTCTACTGGACCTGGCAGCAGCATGAGGAGGAGGGGCGGTACAGGGGCCCATGGCAGATTAGGGGGGCCTGGCAGCAGCAATGGGAGGCCCGTAATCTGCCAGCACCCTATGACAAAATGGAAACCCACCAGCAGTGTGAGGAGACCTGAAAGTGGCACATGGCAGAGAGTGTGGCGATGGAGACAGCAGCAATGGGGAGGCCGTACAGGGACCCATGAGAGACTCTGGACCTGGCAGCAGCATGAGGAGGCGGGTACAGGGGCCCATGGCAGATTACGGGCCTGGCAGCAGCAATGGGAGGCCCGTAATCTGCCAGCACCCTATGACAAAAATGGAACCACACCAGCAGTGTGAGGAGACCTGAAAGTGGCACATGGCAGAGTGTGGCGATGGAGACAGCAGCAATGGGAGGCCGCCGTACAGGGACCCATGAGAGACTCTGGACCTGGCAGCAGCATGAGGAGGCGGGTACAGGGGCCCATGGCAGATTACGGGGGCCTGGCAGCAGCAATGGGAGGCCCGTAATCTGCCAGCACCCTATGACAAAATGGAACACACCAGCAGTGTGAGGAGACCTGAAAAGTGGCACATGGCAGAGTGTGGCGATGGAGACAGCAGCAATGGGAGGCCGTACAGGGACCCATGAGAGACTCTCTGGACCTGGGCAGGCAGCAGCATGAGGAGGCGGGTAGGAGGCGGTACAGGGGCCCATGGCAGATTACGGGCCTGGCAGCAGCATGGGGAGGCCCGTAATCTGCCAGCACCCACCCTATGACAAAATGGAACACACCAGCAGTGTGAGGAGACCTGAAAGTGGCACATGGCAGAGTGTGCAGAGTGTGGCGATGAGACAGCAGCAATGGGAGGCCGTACAGGGACCCATGAGAGACTCTGGACCTGGCAGCAGCATGAGGAGGCGGTACGGGGGCCCATGGCAGATTACGGGCCTGGCAGCAGCAATGGGAGGCCCGTAATCTGCCAGCACCTATATGACAAAATGGAACACACCAGCAGTGTGAGGAGACCTGAAAGTGGCACATGGCAGAGTGTGGCGATGGAGACAGCAGCAATGGGAGGCCGTACAGGGACCCATGAGAGACTCTGGACCTGGCAGCAGCAGAGCATGAGGGGGATGGGAGGGGGTACAGGGGCCCATGGCAGATTACGGGCCTGGCAGCAGCAATGGGAGGCCCGTAATCTGCCAGCACCCTATGACAAAAAAAATGGAACCCACCAGCAGTGTGAGGAGACCTGAAAGTGGCACATGGCAGAGTGTGGCGATGGAGACAGCAGCAATGGGAGGCCGTACGGGGACCCATGAGAGACTCTGGACCTGGCAGCAGCATGAGGAGGGCGGTACGGGGGCCCATGGCAGATTAGGGGCCTGGCAGCAGCAATGGGAGGCCCCCGTAATCTGCCAGCACCCTATGACAAAAAATGGAACACACCAGCAGTGTGAGGAGACCTGAAAGTGGCACATGGCAGAGTGTGGCGATGGAGACAGCAGCAATGGGAGGCCGTACAGGGACCCATGAGAGACTCTGGACCTGGCAGCAGCATGAGGAGGCGGTACAGGGGCCCATGGCAGATTACGGGCCTGGCAGCAGCAATGGGAGGCCCGTAATCTGCCAGCACCCTATGACAAAATGGAACCCACCAGCAGTGTGAGGAGACCTGAAAGTGGCACATGGCAGAGTGTGGCGATGGAGACAGCAGCAATGGGAGGCCGTACAGGGACCCCATGAGAGACTCTGGACCTGGCAGCAGCATGAGGAGGCGGTACAGGGGCCCATGGCAGATTACGGGCCTGGCAGCAGCAGCAATGGGAGGCCCGTAATCTGCCAGCACCCTATGACAAAAAAATGGAACACACCAGCAGTGTGAGGAGACCTGAAAGTGGCACATGGCAGAGTGTGGCGATGGAGACAGCAGCAATGGGAGGCCCGTACAGGGACCCATGAGACACTCTGGACCTGGCAGCAGCATGCATGAGGAGGCGGTACGGGTACAGGGGCCCATGGCAGATTACGGGCCTGGCAGCAGCAATGGGAGGCCCGTAATCTGCCAGCACCCTATGACAAAAAATGGAACACCACCAGCAGTGTGTGAGGAGACCTGAAAGTGGCACATGGCAGAGTGTGGCGATGGAGACAGCAGCAATGGGAGGCCGTACAGGGACCCATGAGACACTCTGGACCTGGCAGCAGCATGAGAGAGGCGGTACGGGGGCCCATGGCAGATTACGGGCCTGGCAGCAGCAATGGGAGGCCCGTAATCTGCCAGCACCCTATGACAAAAAATGGAACACCCACCAGCAGTGTGAGGAGACCTGAAAGTGGCACATGGCAGAGTGTGGCGATGGAGACAGCAGCAATGGGAGGGCCGTACAGGGACCCATGAGAGACTCTGGACCTGGCAGCAGCAGCATGAGGAGGCGGTACAGGGGCCCATGGCAGATTACGGGCCTGGCAGCAGCAATGGGAGGCCCGTAATCTGCCAGCACCCTATGACAAAAAATGGAACCCACCAGCAGTGTGAGGAGACCTGAAAGTGGCACATGGCAGAGTGTGTGGCGATGGATGGAGACAGCAGCAATGGGAGGCCGTACAGGGACCCATGAGAGACTCTGGACCTGGCAGCAGCATGAGGAG